TTAGTAGTAGTTGTGGTATAATTATTTTTAGTATTATTAGTAGTAGTATTATCATCATCATCATCATCATCATCATTATCATCATCACCACCATCATTATCATTATCATCAATTATTATTATTACTATTATTATTATTATTATTATTATTATTATTATTATTATTATTATTATTATTATTATTATTATTATTATACCGTCGTTTGTGATGTTGCGGTTTAGCGTTTTATTATGTATCTCTGTCTTTGTGCTGGGACGTTTATACTTCAGGAACAATATTACCACAACCACATCATTGATTTTTGTTTTTTCCTGACCTTACACATCACTTGCGTCTACGCGGTGATAGTTTAGTCTGTAATGCACTGTTTCACGCAGAAGACATCAGTTCAAATTTCAAGTGGGGACATTTATGTTTTATTGTATTTTTTAAAAATCTCAGTCTGTTCGATGGGATGTTGTATCCCAGCTAGCCTGGTACAGACAGATCAAAGCCGCCTGAATCGTTAGTGATCCTAATTGTTTTGATTATGACGCAAAACATTTCTTTTTTAAAAAGTTCCTTTTTTCGTGCAGATCGAGAGGGCTTGAGCAGTGTCCGCTACCTGGAGAATTTGGAGACAGACCTGGCGATGGCGCTCAAGTGTCAGCTGATCCTCAACCACAGCGAGCAGCCCTCCATCTTTTTCCAGATAATCGACGTCATCATTGAGCTCCGGGGTCTGTCCGCCATCTACCTGGAGCAAGTGCTGGACGCCAGAGTGGACAAGAGCGCCGCCTCAGTGCCTCTGGCTGACCCGGCCCGCCTGCAGACGACCGAGGCTGACCAGCTGGAAGTGAAAGTGTTGTCTGAAGACAACGGGTTTGTGGGGAACAACCACGCACGTTTGTTTCCTGAGGAGAGTATGCTGGTGTCAGGATGTGGGGAGCCCATGGACGTGTGCGATGACCAGCCCATGGATCTGAAAGTGCGGACTGATCCCAAGGACACGGAGAAGAAAAGAGATGTGGTGCTAGGCGTGAAGACTACCGCAGTCTCGTCTGGGTCAGGACGGGAGGAGGGAAAGGATGGGCCGAGCTTCCGTGAGCTTATAGACGCTGATAGTGTTAGCTGGGCGGAAGAGAGAGAAAAACGAGAGGCTGAGCTAAGGTTGCTTCATTTGTCCACCGGCTTTTCGCCAGGGGACTTTACAGCTAGTCCGTCCCTCGCGGACTCTGACGAGGCTGGACCGTCGTTCGGAGGGTCTCCGGTAACTCTGAGTCCGTCGGCCATGTCGTCGTGGTGTCCCCCTGCTAGGGTGCGCTCAGCCTCTGTGTCACTGGTGAGTCAAAAGCCCTCCACTCCGCTGTCGCTTCCTCCAAGCTCGACCAGAACGTTATCCGCCCCGGTATCTCCCAACATTCCGTGCGCCACCGTGGAGAACTTTCTAAAAAAGGCAGAGACAAATAACGAAACTTGTGATAGTAGTGCCTCGGATAGTAAGGATTTTTATCTAAAAACTGAGAAAAATGGTGACTCGTCCAAAGAGGCATTAGTCCAGTCTGATGAACCGGTGCTTGAGGCAGAAAATCTCTCTGTTAAAAAAGAGAATTCTGAAGAAAATGCTGAGTCATCTGACATCGCAACAGATAACAAAGTCGGCGTCTGTGAAGTTGGAAAAGCGACAGACTCTCTAAAATCGGGAGGTAGTGTAGGTGGCGACACGCCTCTGACTACAGGAGATGATACCAAAGAGATTGAACACCCAGAGTCGGGCAAGGCCAATACTGGGCTCAACGATTTGGCTAACAGCGATGTCTCTGGTTTGGACAAAACAAGAGAGGATAGGGAAGGATCTTGGAATGTGGATACGACTCCGAAGATCTCAGAGAGTGATGTAGAAGCTGCAGATCGAAAAATTCTGACAGAATCCCAAAGAGACGTTTCGTGTGAAGCGTCTGATAGAGAAGCCAGTAAAAGCAGTTCTGACAGCGAAGTTTTGAATCTCGGTATTAGCCAGTCTAAGGCGAAAAACGACACAAATTTAAAGTCTAGTGAAGTGACAGGTGAAGCTCCAAAAAAGGATCAGCCTGAAAGTTCAAGTCACAGTAACTCGGTGTCCAAACCCGGTGATCCAGATATACCCACCAAAGAACTAGGGAACTCCCCTTCTGCTTCGGCAACCCCTGTAATGTCTTTGAGTGTGTCGACTCCCTCAGATCTTTCATCAAAAGCAAAAGGAGAAATCTCTTCTGTTGCCACCTCGTCCTCTTCCCTTAGCGTCGTTGTGACATCAGGAACATCAGGTGGCCCGGGCTCAGCCACAACGACAACAAGTTTTGTGCCAGTGCCAGGCTCGGCGAAGTCCACAATCGCTACAGCCTCACCCTCGGCCCCGGTTCCCCCTTCTTCTAGTTCCGGTTGTCAAATGGTGAACGAAAGGTCAACTGTCATGCCAGAGGTTCTGCTTGAAGGCAAGGCACCCACAGACATCCACTCTCGCTCCGCATGGGCCGGCGAGGATGAGAACGATGACGTCATTATACTTGACACTCCGTTAGACTTCAGCTCCCCTGTGTCAAAAGGAGCCCAGCCTGCTCCTAATGAGGACCACCCTTTAGACTTTTCTCAACGAGGAACCAATAAAAGCAATGCGCACCACAAAACAGATCTTATCAGAAATTCAGAAGCAGAGCCTGTGGATTTTTCTGCCAAGTTATTACGTGATTTGCTTCGCGAGGGTCCTGCTCCTGTGGGCTTGGCCCCCGATGGGAGTTATAAGGCGGGCGGCCACAAAGCCATAGAGGGAACGTGTCTGCGCGTGCCACGTCCCCAGGCCAAGTACCCGAGCAGCGCCTCCCCCTTTGACCGTGTGGTCAAGTCTCAAGGATGCGGGCCGATATGTCCACCCTTCTCCAAGGCTGACTCTGTCAGTGACAGTGTATACCCCGGTGGTAGCCATGATCAAAGTCATCCGGGTGCTGATGTGTTGGCGGGGGATCCAGTCCTTTACTCCGTGCACCATCGAAGATACTCGCTGCCTCAGCGCCCGACACACACTCACGGGCTGCGCTATGCCCCGTATACCAAACATCCCCAGCGTCAGCAACAACAACAACAGCAACTACAGCACCAACAACAACTACAGCAACAGCAACAATTACAGCACCAACTACAGCGGCATCAGCCGTCCCAACAGCACCGTCTACAACAACAGCCATACAACCAGCAACATCAGCAACAGCAGCAACAGCAGCAACAGCAATATCGTCACAGTAGTCATGCGCTACTGCCGCCACCACCACTGCAACAAAAGCAGGTATCGCCGGCCGCCTCGTCACCCCATCTTACCCACCACCACCCACACCACCCTCGTGCTACTCCTCCCCCTCCTCCTCTTCCCCACTCTCAGCTCAACCATGCTCACATTCACCCTGCCCACCCCGGCGTGGCTCCGTCACATTCCCGCCCCTCCCGGCCGCCCCCACTCCTCGCTGCGGTCCCCAGGCTCGCTGCTCACTTTGAAGACGGTATGGCGTTACAGATGGTCCCCCCTGAGGACCTCGTTCACTCTCAAACCCATGTCTGTCCTCCAAGTCGCGTCCACCCCACAAGCCGTAGTCATCCTTCAAGTCACGCCCCTCCACCGCCACACCCTGCCTTAGTTCAGCATTCCATGAATCACAGACCTGTCGTCTCCTACTCCTCAACCACGCTCGCTCAACAAGACAAGTTTCTCCCACCTCGCAAAGGGTTCGAGGCCGTGTTCATGCAGCCTGAAACGAGTCCCCAATACGCCACACCTCCTCCACCACCTCGTGGTATTCGTGGAGGCGTGTACGTCCCCCGCCATCCTATCTCAGACGCGACGAGCGCCTGTCAACAGAATGAAGGAGCTTCAGACGAGGTGCCGCTAGACATGTCCGCGAAATCTGTCTCTAACTCGCCTGGGGTTACAACATACATCAGCTCCGCACAGTCGTCTGTCGGGCAGTCTACGTCTGGCACATCCGAGGCATCCACAGCAAGATTGTCAAAATTACTCTCACCGTTTACTCCAGCAGCCCGCCACACTCCTGGTACTTCTCATGACACTCGTGCGAGTCAGGTGGGCCAGCGACCTCCCTACCAACCTTATTACTCCTCCCCTTCCCACCCTGCTCACAATTCCACAGCGTTAACCGCCTCTCCAAGCCCCGTCCAGTCCTCCACCAAAACGCCCCGAGGTACGGAGGCCCCTCCCCCTGAAGACTTCAACTCCGCCCACTCTCGTCAGCAGACGTCAATGTTCCCGTCACCCACGCCCCAAGAGTTGGAGCCCGACCCCTTGCTCGGCCGGCCTCGCTCTCATTCCTACTCGTACAACCCACAACAACGCCTCAGCCGCAGCAATATTCAGCGCCTGCTGCAGGCCCAGCCACTGCCCTACCACATCCAGTTCAAGCACCAGCACCAGCAATAGCATCAGCTTGCAGGAGATAACTGTACCAGTAATGACCACACTTCCTGTCCCCTTTCTCCAACCCTGGCCACTTTTCCCCGAGAACCGAACAGTAAAAACACTAGAGACCACAGCGAAACCGAAACCAACAGCAACGATAACAACTACATTGCAATTATCAGTATCGGCTGCCACAGCGACCTCGATGACAGAGGCAGCGCTAGCACTAGACCTCAACAATACGCTAAGTAACAACAAGAACTACAATTTAAGAAGAAGGAAAACAAAAAAGAACCTCTGACATAGAATGAAGTCCCTTAGCATGACAGTGTATGAATGAAATATGACATGACGATGTTCGAGTCAGCTACATCATCTACGTGCCATATTATTATCGTAACATTCTAGGTGCAATTTAGAAGGAAAGAATGTTCAAAATTGCATTTGTTTAATTGAATTAATTTTTCAACTGAAGTAAGTGCTTGAACGTCTTGGTTAGTGTTTTCCCACTTAAATTTTGACTGGATCATTGGAGAGATTTGCATAAGCGAGACAGAGAGAGACAGACAGACAGAGAGAGACAGAGAGAGAGAGAAAGAGAGAGAGAGAGAAAGAGAGAGAGAGAGAGAGAGAGAAAGAGAGAGAGAGACAGGCAGAGACAGAGTAACATGGTATACACGTCTCCTTACTCTCTGATACACTTCTCATCATTCATTCCGATAATTTTGTTGCTGTAGTGGTCACATGGGGCCTAGACGACTGCCGACCCTCAGAAATGATCAGCGCTTTGTGATATTTCTTGAATTGACTTGTACATGTACTAGGAAAAAAATGTGCTACACGCATTGTTGTACTGCTGTATATAATATATCTTTAGTTTCTGATCACATCGTATATTTTGCATTTTATGAAGCGATCATGTTTGACTGCCAATGTGCCATAATAATAATGATATAATGAATGACGTGCCCGTCGCAAACGCCCATTTCCGTGGCGCCTTGACGAAGATGGTTTCAGCCTGGTCTTTCCCGAAACGCTCTTTCGATTGACGTATTGTTTACTAGCCTATGTGTTTTGTGTCACTCATGGTGCTATGCGGATGATTCGAGTCTTAAAAAAATATTTTGAAAGTATTATGATTTTTACGTTAAATTTTTTAAATTTTTATAATTT